GGTGATGACTAGCTGCCTTCCCTCTATTCTTACACTGCTAAATTAGGGATGGCTAGTGCAGATAGCCCTCGTGTAGCTTTGCGCTAAAATTCAAAAACAAACAAACAAACAATACCAAAGCCTCATCAGACCAGCTGAAATACAACAAACATAATTATTATAAATATTTTTTTTTATCTTAACTTTGGTTAATTCAATTAGTTAACGGAATAGAAATTTTATTTACTATAGATAATAAGCTATATTTTCAATAGTATAATTCTTTTAACAATAAGCTTTATTACTTGTAATATCAAACATATACTGTAGAAATGCATGTTGTTGAGTCAATTAGAACTTATTATTTAAACCAATTGAAATTTTTACTGTAAGTTACAGTTTGTGTTTCAGTGAAATGCTCCAGAAGAAGCTGTAAAGTGAAATAAGGAGTGTCCAATTAAATGTTTAAAAATATTTGATGTTATAATGTCATTTATTACTAGAAGTAAACACGGTAATGGTCAGAACACATCGTTGGCAATGGATAGTGTGGTTGAAATACTATTATACATTATTCTTGGGAAAAACCTAAGAGACTTAATGAAAGAATGTAGTGTTTAAAAAACAATAAGCATAATACTATTGTCTTATGACATATATAATTGATTCAATTATGTTTAATTGTTTATACATGTTGCTTTTACACTTATTTAATGTACTGCTGAGTTTGACAGATAGAATGAATAATACCTAGACTTAGCAGATAAAATGATATACAGAGGGTTAATTACACTTTATAGAAATAATGTTCCACATCCAGTGCTGTCTTTGGAGCTTCAATGGTGATCAAACTCAATCTAATGGCCAAGATTATGCATTATTGCCCAACACTGCAATTTACATTATAAGAAACATCTGTAAAGTATAGCAAAATTAATTGTAAATCATGCATCTTGAGAGACCCTCAACATCATATTCCAAGATCATATTTAAGTAGATTACTTCTCTCAGCACAAGCTTGGTCCCAGGGACCGACCTCATAACCATTTTGTGCTTGTTATAGTTTTCATGCCATGACTTTAAAATTAGTAAGCATATCTTCACAAAATTTTGCATATTATCAGTAAACATTACAAGGCTTTCGTGTGCAAAATATCAGATTTTTTTTTTCTCAAGTTTTAAGATTTTCTTAAGCAGTGTTTTTCACATGCCTTTTTTCTTTTTCGATTGTTGACTATCCAACATGCAAGGTAATTTTGATTTTAAGATTAAAAATACTTTTATTTATCAGAAAATTTTCAAATTTCATCTGCAAAATCTTTATAATCTCCAGATAATTATCAAACGTTTTTTTAGAAACAAAACTATATCTTATCTGTTATTTTCACTGTTCTTCTGTATGGGTTGGATTGATTTGATTGACCTCATATCCACCATAAAATATTAGGAAATAAATATAAATTATGCTTTTTTCGTTTTAGAATGACTACAAATTATAACATGAAAACACAAATATTTAGTCTAAATAGCTTAAATCTCATAACATTATACATTTATATATATTTATTATTTTTATTCTATTGACCTTTCAGCCGTGACTGGCTAACATTACAGAAGTTGCAGTAATGTGGCCCATGTGCACTGATGTTACTGTATCCAATAATATATAACTGGTTTTTACAAAGTGACCTGTCTTGGCTGTGTTTTAGTGGACTAGTGTTTTGTAAAATACAGACACATTATATATGTATATACATTATTTCTATTTACAAATAAGTTCTTAAACTTACTTTTCTTAAAACATAGAACAGTGAATGAAGAAGTAAAGCAAACAATTATCTTAATGAACAATTATAAACTTTGTACTCATGCCTTAGGTTGTTAAGCTTTATCAAATTTTGCACATGGAGGATGTGAAATGAAAAAATTTTTTGGGGTTTTGTATATACATTAAAAAAAAAAAAAAAA